CAAGTATTATAAAATAAATTTGAATTTGTTGGGTCCAATTTCACTCTGCAATCTTCCCTTGACATCAGTAAGTCTTGAGTGTGGGTTGGTTTTGATGAGTTTCTTTTGCTTGGCTAAGTTTTTGGACTATTTTTAATTTTTTAAATGCTTTTAGATTATATCTTCCCTCTATTTTTTTTTTAAATTAGCATATTGAAAGCCAATTGAGGCTTTGTTGAATTATGCATCAGTCCAAGAGTAAAACAATAATACTGTTTAAGCAGCACATCTTCCCACATCACAGGGAAGATATACATAAATTCTCCTTCTGGTCTAGGCACAAAAGACTGTGTTAAACCCATTTTATTAACTTTGCCCAGGTTTACAATTCTGAAGCAGCCACTTATGCTCAATGTCATTTTAAAGGCATTCATAGAAAAGAGCAACATGGAAACTACTGCCTGCCATATCCAATTCTGTTTAACATCATCTTTTCTTACACAATGAGTGCCATCGTGGTATCTGCCCTGAAGTAAGCTTGCTGTGGTGCCCGGGCCAATGCTGGAGTTCATCACTAATAGTTACAGACATGGTCACTCAGCCAGGATGTCAGATGCTCATCCAGCAAGTTCTGTGCCAAATCAAGTGTCAGTGGTCAGTGACCAGCGGGATGTGAATCAATGCATGTGCAGAACTTGTCTTTTGTCAATGGGACGTGATGCTGAATTGTATCAGCACCTATCGCAGCAGCCTTTAATATGAATATCATCCCTGAAGCTGACAGCCCAGCTGACAAGTTGACAGCAGAAAAGATGAAGAGAAGGAGGGAAGGAAGGGAGAGGCCATTATCTGATACATATGAAATGAAATTTGTCTGAATGTGACAATGCTTTACATTACAGGTCAATATTTGAAGAAGATGGACGATTAACCAAATATTTCTTGATATACCAAAATCTTATTTGCTTGTCATAGCATTAATCAAAATTGTTCTCATGAAATTGCAGCTATAAAGGCAGACATATGCTGAATATCCAGTTTTCTATGCATTTGCTACATTTTATTGCTATTTTTGTTTTGTATTTTTAGTCACTCACTGCCTGAATGTTGAGCACAGCAGCGCAGCGTGCCTGCCGTGCGTGCATATACACCTACATGCATCACTGTATCTAGGAGCCTGCTCATCTCTTTGCAACTGCAGCTGTGGACTGACAGGACTGTGAGAATGCCAACGGTGGATACGACACTGCTTGTTCCAGCTTCCCCTCCTCTTTTTCCAAGAGAAGAAAGGATCTTGGCAAAGCTTCAGCTGTGGCAGCAGGAGAAGGCAAGGCAAGGGAGAGTGAGCTGGCAGCTGCTGAGGAGGGCAGCTGGAAGCAGAGCCCATGAAGAGCATGGGGTGAGGTCTGCTGCTTTCAGAAGGCTGCACAGGATGGGCAGCAGAGCACACTCAGATTCTGTGTTAGATCCATGTTGACAGAAAACTGACAGCCTGTTTCAAAAGGTCTTTTTTTTGACAATGTGTAACAAAATCTACATATTTGGTTGTATTCCTGGTACACCTCAAGCTCCTGTGCAAACTGGGCTGCTGTAAGGCATGCATATAGGAGATGCTGACACTCCTACCTCTAGGTACCTAGATGCACAACGTGAAATAAAATAGAAGGCATTACTTTTGGAGCAACCCTTATACATTTCTGACAGTTACTAGAAATGAATTGCCATTTCTGTTTACTTTCATCTTGCTCATCCTAGCTTAGTAGACCATCTTCATCTCTTGTGTTAATTACAGTATGTGAATCTACAATGTTCAACTATTGATCACTGTGCAATACAAAGGAATCATTCACTGAAGATAAATTTGAATGTAATCTAGAAAAATAAAATCCCTGTTACTTTTCTCTCTTTATACTTTCCTGTATAAAGAATTGTGGGGCATTTTCATCTCTCCATTGAAACAAGGTTGAAACATTGAAGGAAATCTCTGATATCTATTACCCTGGAAAATAATCCACCAAAAATTAAGCAAAATCTTTTTTAGTTAAAGAACATAAAGTCAGTGACTGTTATGGTGGTTTTGCTGGACTGGTAATTTACACATGTGATTTACTTCAGGCACATGAGTCGTTTCATGGTTTGATTTAAATAAAAATTATATAATTAATATATTACATAAACCACTTTCAAAAGAGTACAGTAGAATCACACTGAAGTGTTTCACTGACCTTTAATTTGTTATAATCTTGACTGACGGTACTATTAGGAATTATTCTGTAAGATCAAGTTAATAAACTCTGGGTGCGACTAATACTTATTTTAACTATTCACTCAAAAACACAATTAATTGGAGTAAAAGCTGACCATTTTTAATTGACATTCTAGTAAGTAATGTCTTGTATCATTCCTAATGAAGTACTTAGAAAAGTGAGGCTGCTTCCCCTGGAGTCACACGGCCTGGTGAAGACACAGAACATGATGCATCTTTAGTTTTCCAAGCCTCGCTAAGAACCTCTTCCCATCTCCATCCAAGCAGATTCTTGTTTAAATAGAACAGCTGGTCTTTCAGAGCGCATTGTAACACGTACATCTGAAGTGGACCACCACTATAATTTCTGGCTTTCCACTACCTGTCATTACTGACAAGAATTACAGACTTCAGAAGTTACTGGATAACTGAATAAAAATGCCCTTGCTATATAACATCCACTATGAAACGTCAACACTGGACTTGATCTAATTTTTCAAGTGGGGAAAACTAAGACTTACTTTCATGCTTCTTGATAACTAAGATTCTGTCATGAGATATGTATGCTCGGTCTAACAGAATGCTATGCCACATTTAACTGCAGAAAATGACCCATTTTAAACACAAATAAGCTTAGACACTTGGAAAGTATTCTTAACAAGGAAATTAGCCAAACGTAACATTTCATTTTTGTATAAAGGCATTACCACAACTTTTATCTTTTGGGGTAAATTGAGCACTTCTTAGTTTCAAGTTTTATGATCAGGGATGAAATTTCACTCCAGACTTTTTTATTTACTTACATGTTCACTCATATGGATACATACACACGTAGATCTAACAAATATAAATACGTAATATGCATGTTCACATTTACAAACGCATACTGATAGAAAGTGAGAGAAATTTAGAGATGAAGTCTATGCTGCAAAAGGAAAACTCAAATAGTAGTTTAAAATTGAATATTCTTAGGCTGGAAATTGCTTTTAGCCATTAGACACTGAAGTATCTAATAGAAAAGCCTCTTAAGTAATCTTTATGTGCAAAGAAAAGGATATGGTGTATGACCTAGTTGCCAGGCAACTGCACAGAACTGCAAAATGTTTTCCTAAGATGTGCTGCTCTGTGGTGTGATGTGTGATAGGGAAGTAGACCCAGCCACTCAGTTCTCTGTGAAGCCGGTCATAAAAAGTGTTTTGGAGTATTCTAGGGAGATCAAGTACAACTGCAACTGAAATTTTATAAACTGAAGCTCCTTTACGACCACGTTCTTTGTAACCTCGAGTAGTCACACATCAGAAGAAATGCCAACATCTATTCACCTCCATCCCAGCACTGGGATGTCAAATTACTCACACTAATGGCTGGAATGAAAGAATGGTTACTGATCCACTGTGGGAAAATATGTACACCTTTTCTGGTAAAAAACATTGTCAGTACATGGAGGCATCCTTGTGAGGTCTTTTTTCCTTTTCATTTTTTTTTCCAACATAATTCAAATATTTTCTAAAATACATATATATGTAATCTGTAAATTGAACATAAGTTTCCTCTCAAACAAAAAAATACAAGTTTTTGAACAGAATTCTTTGAGTATAACCATGAAGGACAGACATCTCATAAGATGCATACTTCCCTCTTAGTGCAAAATTAGAATCCTCATAACAGCAGTATTTTTTAAGCCATGCCAAGAGAATACATGAAATATTCTCATGCCAAACACAGATAGAAGATGAATTTTTCCATTGTTATTTTTTCTTCATCCTGAATCATTATGTGGGTTGTTCTAAAAATCATCGGTGCGAAGATAAGCAAGGATTCCCTGTCGTCATCTCCAAGATGTCAAACCGAATCACGTGAAAAGTGAGCAGCAGCCTACGTCCTGTGTGAATGTAGCCAAACAATCCTTGGGGAGGACATAGTCAATTTCCAGAGCTTTAAGCATATGGATAAATTATCCCTACCAACACTGCTTTATTCAGTTCTGTCTCACCTGATCTTCACTGCTTAGAGAAAGGGACATACAGAACTGAAAGCATACATGCGTGCAAGTACAAAAAGCTAGATCGTTGCTGATTTGTAAGGCTTTTTTTCTTTTCATATTGTGGACATCAACATTGAGGTATGTCTTGAAACAGAATGCAGTGTGATGCTATATTAACAGTAGCTATATCGCTACAACCGCTGAGTTCTTCAGGAAGAAGAAATGAATGCTACGTAGGACACCTTACCTCATTCCTCTAGGATGTGCTCTTGAAGATATAGAACCTTTCTAGAGAGATGCTTGAAACAGTTCCAGTGGCCTTTTCAGTCCATACCCCAGATATTTTAATTTCTTGCACAAAAATATCTGATTTTGGTATATACAGAAACTAGGAACTGGCTGTAGCTATGATTAGATCACGACTCTGTTGTTCACTGGAAATTTTGAAATTGTCTTCAGACACAATTTGTTGTGGCTGTAACTGAACTAAATGAAATCTCTGCTACATGGCCCAGATTGCCTTAAACAAAACACTACTGAATTTGATAGATACCACTTGATGACAGTGGTCAGGATTGACTGTGAAAACCCACAGCTCAGTTCTGAGGTCTGTGTACCTGGGATGTGAAATCCTTTCAACACTTGACATGGATATTATTTTCTATGATATTTGACTTTGTTGAGTAGTATTATCACATCACTGAGTTCACACGTTTCATTTCTTTTCAGAATTCTTGAGATTTCTCCCAGCAAAATACAAACAAACAAACAAGCCCACACAACAAAACTTACCATTCTGCAGCATTCACTCCTGAGTAGGGAAGCACAAGCAAAATGCCGGAGTGGAATGAGCTTAATGTCAGGAAGGAACAGAGAGTAACTTGATGAAATTGCTGAGAGAGAGGTAAAACCAGAACAGACAATACCACTAAATGAAAAGGAAAATTGTATGTTTGATTTTTAAACTGATTCAGAAGCAAAGAAAAACAAAAGCGAAAGTAATTTAAGTAAATTACTTTCGGTCCAGTAACAGTTGTAATACACTGCTGTGAGTAATAGGAGGGAAGTGGGAGCTTACAAGTTACAGCTGCTTAAAATACTTCATGCAAAAGGAGAGCATAAAAGCAATGAATTGTTCCTAAGGCACTAGTTTTTGAAGATTTCCAATTCAATCTTATGAGGCACATACTGACAATGGCACATACTCCAAGGAGACATGCTCTCTTTCTTCTTCCCCCTTCCTTTCTGCTTTGAAACTCCATAGAGTGTGTGGCCCATGAGAAATCAGAAGAACCCTAAGACTCACAGAGACAGCTTACCCAACACATCCAACATGCCACCTGCTGTGGTCCAAATGTCTTTCCATGATTTAAAATCTATTTATGTTGCTGAGGTGAGTGCAGCTACAAAGGATGGAACTGAAATCCAATGATGGGTACCCAGACTAAGTAATCTTAACGAGGTTCCACTTGCAAAAATGTTTGCTTGAATTCTAAAACAAGCAGCTCTTCCTTTCTCTGTTTTTGAACTGTGCATTTTTGCCAACAGCTCAGTGATCAAAATAGAACTAGCAGTGACAACAAGTTAGAAAAAATAGCAACCAAATGTGTTTTATTGTATAAGTAAGCAGATTTGAAATGGTATCACTCAAAGTATACACAGAGCATTATGTCCCATTATCACATTTGATCTTAAGAGTTACACTGCGCTTCAGCTAGATTTACACGGATTTGTCTTTTTTTTTTTCAACATCCACCACCCTTTAATTCTTGATTTAAAACCTAATCTGCCACAGAGTTTCATGAAATAGATCGGGCTGAGAGAATACCCGAGAATGTTTTTTTGTTTTTTTTTTTTTAAGAAAACTGATTTACAGTTTGCAATTATTAGTCAGGTAGAATAGCAGTTGAAAAACTGGACTATATTACAAAGCATTTTTCCAAACATCCATTTTGGATTATTGCTGAAAGGTACTGATTGGTCTATTCTAGACTAGTTTACAAACATTCATGAAACAGTGGAAATGCATGCTTTAGAAAACTGGTACTATTCATGCCTCTGGTCTCAAAAGGATACGAAGATGATAGCAAGTGATGAACATTTTCAAAGGCATATTAGTAGTAATTAGAGTTTCTTTTCTTTTGCACTAACAGAACCTTCAGACTTTTTCTCATTTCTTTCAGGTGATTTTTCCTCTTCAGGTTTAATCCACAGAGGGTTGCGCAACATCTGATAAGGGCGAAAACAGCATCAATGCAAATATCCTTTGACAGTGGAAAAATCATGCTAATCTGAATCATTACCTTATTATTATCAAAAGCACAGGTGTACTACTCATTTAAGGTTTTTTCATTGGCAAGATTGCTGAGTACACTTCCGCATATTTACAAATAGGTAACTGTTTTGATCATCTCCCCCTCCCTCTCCTTCCCAAAACTGTTGACATGATAGTATTAAATTCAGTCATTTGATGACTGGGCTACTCCAATTCAAGCACAGAACAGTTTGGAGCAATGTTGATAGCCAGGAGTCATTTCGAACAAACTGGAGAGTACAAGTAAGAAGTTCTCTCTCCAAAGCATTGGAATAAAACATGTAAACATACTTCAAGTAACTGCATGCCTTACAAGAGCTTTTAATAAAAAAAATCTGAGAATTTCTTGAGAACTGGATACCTGAAATCTTGTCTCTGTTTCTGCTCTCTTCAATTGAGATGCTGAATTATTGCGGTTCCCCAAACACGTCTTGCCAACCTGTCAACAGAGATATCACAGGTAACTTCTGTGGATTTTTTCTACAATACTCATGTGGGTCTTTTTAAATACTCTGGTAACAGCCACTGGTAACATTTCCCTGTGTCTGATGTGGCTGTAAAAGTTTAGCAATTTAATACTTATTCTCTCTCAGTAGAAGTAGTCAAGTTTATTCCTACAATTGATCTGTGAAAGAGGGTAGTAATTACAATCTTCTATTGTGAGTGAGGAAATAGTAATGAACAGCTGAAAGCTAACATTAAATTTGACTCCTTTATTGCTATTTTCTTGTCTGATTTGCTAGATCTCTTTTGCATAATAACCACTGAGCTTATTGAATGGAGAAGTCAGAAAATTCTCAAGGTATGGGAAGGCTGGTTAGATTCATCACTGTCATTTTATTGCAGCAAAAAATGTTATTTTCCTTGCAAATACGCTCTTCAACACGATAGAAAACAGAGCTGAACAGTATAAATAAAATGCTGGAAGAATTAGAGAGTAGATTGCAAAGGCAAAAGGTCTTGTGTTGTAAGTCTTAAGTCATTAACAGCACTGAAATTTCTACTGAAATTAAATTAAAAGTCCTTCAGGACTATGATCAAGACAACATAGGCAAAGAAAATGTGAAATATAGGTACAGATAATCTTTGTCATTGCCTTGAAATTGCTCGTGTTAGCAATCTGCTTTGTGTGTGTGTGTGTTAATAGAAATTGATACATGCAAATGGAGTGAAAATTAAATATATGTATATATATCAAACTTTAAGTCATAAAGACTTTCCAAACTAACAGTTATTTTACTTATTTTAAATTTTAACATGCATCTTCCCCTGAAATTGTTCTTTTTTAGCATAATAATCTGGAAAATTTTTGAAGTTAAGTCTCATTATAATATTTTTACACATCAGATACATTGGTGAAAAAAGGCACAAAATTCTTTGGTATGTAAATGGACACATACAAAAAGGAACCACTACAGATTCCACTGGCATTTCTGCAATTTCTTTTAGATATTTGTTTTTCAAAAATTATGATTGAGAATACTTTTCTAGAATAGAATACTATCTAGACAGAATACAAGAAAAGAAATAAAGCAATCCAAAAGAAAAAGAATATGTCTAAGTAGTATGTTTCCAGGCTCTTTTCTTGGGGAATTTTTGCTCAAAAAAAAAAAAAAAGCCTGAACTAATCCCACAGCATTTTAAATCATGGTAGGTTAAAAATTACCTCTCTCAGCAGACAACATTGAAAATCAACACTCTCATGGAAATTAAATGTCAAGAAATTTTATCGATATCCTTTCAGTACAAATTACATTAGATTGAAGTTAATTTAAAAGTCAGAGATTGACAAGGAGGAGGAAATTTCATTATGTTTTTGCACTTGAGGAGTTCTGACAGTCCCTCACCTGTGACCAAGTTGATCTAAAAAAAAGTGTGGGTCTGACAGAACTCGTTTTTAATGTATTTCCTAGTAAGTTAGATAAAATATTCTTTTCAGCTTAGTCACACTGAGATAAATGCGAGGGTTTCAGGGCCTTGAAAGCCAGGAGTCTCAGGACAAATGATGTTGCAGGTCAAAAAAGGAAGAGCGTGTCAAGCTGTGTAAGGAAGATGTTATTTCCATCACACATTAATCACAGAATCCCTGGGATTGGAAAGGACCTCAGGAGATCCTCGAGTCCAGCACCCCTGCTAAAGAAGGTACCCTACAGTAAGTCACACAGGTAGACATCCAGATGGGTCTTGAATATCTCCATAGAAGGAGATTTCAAAACCTCTCTGGACAGCCTGTTCCAGGCTTTCAATACAAGTTTTAGGAATGACATATGGTATCATTTACAAACACTCTTTCCATAGGCCAGGTAAGAAAGGCCTTGTTGGTAGGAAAAAAAATAGTGAAGGTTCGTGTTTGTAGCATTCCAAATTTTTCCTCTCCCAGGTGTTTTCCTATTTAGCAATACACCATCTGGTACACTCTTCTAAGCAAAGCAACTCCTACATCTTTATTACGTTGTTAAGTCATAAAGAATTATTTTTTCTCTTGTTATTGTGAAAACGTGTGTATCATTAACAAATAGATTAGATATTGAGTGCCAGCGATGACCTTCATCATGGCATCAGTCAACAGAAGTACCATAGCCAGGACTGTAACTGGTCACTTTGAACTCTGTTTTAAGTCACAACAGTTCCTAAAGTTGGACAAGTATAACAGCATCTCCCACCATAAGCATAACCCAGGCTAGAACCAGCCCAGCTTAAGTCTCATGCATATACATCCCCACACATACATGTCTGTATGTCCATGCACAGGCACATATTTGTCTGAGTATATGTGCATACAATCACATAGACTCCTACAGACATTCCATAGTGCAGATGCTTATGGCTGATTAAAGCAAATAAACAAGCATATTCTCAGATATACATATACATTTTACTAGGTCTCTCTATACCAAGAAACAGGATGATTTTTAGGTTTGCTGGCTTTTCTCCATGTCTCTTCCTATCCCACTTGCTCCTTTGCAAGGTTGCTAATTGTAAAAGTAGAGAACAACAGTTTGATGTAGTGGAAACTAGCACAAAGCAAAGATAATTGCTTTTATAAAATAAAGGGCTGAATTGTCACCAGTGTGTTTTCCTGTCTCATGATAGTGAGATTTTATGAATCGCTCCTGGAAGATACTGGGATTTTGCCATGCTTAGCATCGACTTCAACATACTGCTCAGCTGGGAGGAGCTTTCAAGCCATTTTCTTGTTTTCCTCAGCCAGCTAAATTATTAAATCTTTAAGAATGACCATCACATTTACAGGTTCATTAGAGATGAGGAGGAATTCTGCTATATTTATTTACTTGAAGACTTCTCAAATCAAGGACCTTTCATCCTAGTTTCATTAGCACATGCCCACAGAAGCAACTCTTTCTTTCTAGATTCAGAAAGAAAAGCTTTCACTGTTTATAATCAAAGCCTGTATTTATACAAGCTATTACATAAAATATATGTACAAGTTATTAAATAAACTATAACTAATCTCTGAAATGGCAGTGAAGTGAGGCAGACAGATCATAGAATCCATAGAATTGTAAGGGACCTTTAAAGGTCATTTGGCCCAACTCCCCTGTAATAAACAGGGACAACATTGAAAGGTCTTTAAACTAGGTAAGAAGGGGGAAGGGGACAAAATGAGGGCTGCTGAGGTTCAGGTAGTTCAAGGTTCAAAAGTGAACTTGATGGGTGATGAGGGTGGAGTTCGAAGGGATGGAGTGTGGCAGGGGAATGCTGCCTCCCTGAAGTGTCTATACACTAATGCGCGCAGTATGGGAAATAAACAGGAAGAGTTGGAGATCTGCGTGCGGTCACATGGCTATGATCTCATTGTGATCACAGAGACGTGGTGGGACAGCTCGCATGACTGGAATGTTGTCATGGAGGGCTACGTGCTTTTTAGGAAAAATCGGCCGGCGAGGCGGGGTGGTGGAGTTGCTCTTTATGTGAGAGAGCAGCTTGAATGTATTTTATATTGAACTCCACCTGGGGGAGAGCGGTGTAGCAGTGGAGAGCTTGTGGGTGAGAATCAAGGGGCGGGCTGGTATGGCTGACACTGTTGTGGGAGTGTGCTACAGGCCCCCCGATCAGGAGGAGGAGGTTGATGAAGCCTTCCACAAGCAATTGGAAGCAGCGTCACGATCCCAGGTGCTGGTGCTTATGGGGGACTTCAATCATCCAGATATTTGCTGGAAAAGCAATGTGGCCAGGCACGCGCGGTCCAGACGGTTCCTGCAATGTGTTGAAGACAACTTCCTGATGCAGGTGGTTGAGGAATCGACGAGGAGAGGGGTACTGCTGGACCTTATTCTCACTAATAGAGAAGGGCTTGTCAGGGAAGTAAAGGTCGGGGGCAGCTTGGGTTGTAGTGACCACGAGATGGTGGAGTTCAAGATCCTCCTGATCTTGAGTGGAATCCTGATTCCTGAGTGGAAGAAGTAAAGCAAAAAGTAGGATTGCTACCCTGGACTTTAGGAGAGCCAACTTCGATCTCTTTCTGGACCTACTTGGAGCTGTCTCATGGGCTAGGGTGTTGGAAGGCAAGGGGGCCTGTGAGAGCTGGTCGGCATTTAAGCAGCTCTTCTTCCAAGCTCAGGATCGGTGCGTCCCTGTGAGGAAGAAATCGGGAAAGGGTGGCAGGAGACCTGTGTGGATGAGCAAGGAGCCCGTGCACAAACTCAAAGGAAAGAAGAAGGCCCATGAAATGTGGAAAAAGGGTCTGACTACTTGGGAAGAATACAGGAATGTTGTCAGGGTCTGCAGGGATGCGACAAGGAAGGCTAAAGCCCGCCTGGAATTAAATCTGGCAAAGGGGATAAAGGATAATAAAAAAGGTTTTTTCAAGTACGTTAACAGTAAAAGGAAGACTAGGGAGAATGTGGCTCCCCTGCTAAGGGACGGGGGTGTTCTGGTAACGGGGGATGCTGAGAAGGCGGAGATACTGAATGCCTTCTTTGCTTCTGTCTTCAGTGAAAAAGCTCCCCCTCGGGAATCTGAGACCCTGGAGGTGAGTGAGAGGATCTGGGGAATGGAAGACCTCCCTTCTGTCAGGGAAGAGGTGGTCCGGGAGCGCCTAGGCAACACCAATGTTCACAAATCCATGGGACCCGATGGGATGCATCCACGGGTGCTGAAGGAGCTGGCAGAGGTGATTGCTGAACCGCTTTCTGTCATCTTTGAGAAGTCTTGGAAGACGGGGAAGGTGCCTGAAGACTGGAAGATAGCCAGCGTCACCCCGGTCTTCAAAAAAGGCAAGAAGGAAGACCCAGGCAATTATAGGCCAGTCAGCCTCACCTCTGTCCCTGGAAAGGTGGTGGAACAGCTTGTGCTGGATGTCATCTCCAGACAACTGGAAGAAGAGGAGGTTATCAGGAGTAGTCAGCACGGGTTCACCGGGGGGAGGTCGTGCTTGACCAACCTGGTAGCCTTCTATGATGTTGTCTCTGGCTGGGTGGATGGGGGGAGAGCAGTGGATGTAGTCTACCTTGATTTCAGCAAGGCATTTGATACTGTCCCCCATGACGTCCCTATAACAAAGCTGAGGAAGTGTGGGATAGATGAGTGGACAGTGAGGTGGGTTGAGAACTGGCTGACTGGCAGAGCACAGAGGGTCGTTGGTGGTGGTGCAGAGTCTGGTTGGAGGCCTGTAACTAGCGGTGTTCCTCAGGGGTCTGTGCTGGGTCCGGTCTTGTTCAACATCTTCATCAATGACCTTGATGAGGGGATAATGGCCACCCTCAGCAAGTTTGCCGATGATACGAAGTTGGGAGGATTGGCTGACACGCCTGAAGGCTGTGTTGCCATTCAGCAAGACCTGGACAGGCTGGAGAGCTGGGCAGAAAAAAACCGGATGAGGTTTAACAAAAGCAAGTGTAGAGTCTTGCATCTGGGGAGGAATAATTCCATGCACCAGTACAGGTTGGGGGATGAGCTGCTGGAGGGGAGCTCTGCGGAAAGGGACCTGGGTGTCCTGGTGGACAACAGGTTGGCCATGAGCCAGCAGTGTGCCCTTGTGGCCAAGAGGGCCAATGGCTTACTGGGGTGCATTAAAAAGAGCGTGGCCAGCAGGTCAAAGGAGGTGATCCTCCCCCTCTATTCTGCCCTGGTAAGGCCTCATCTGGAGCACTGCGTCCAGTTCTGGGCTCCCCAGTACAAAAAAGACAGGGATCTCTTGGAAAGAGTCCAGCGGAGGGCCACGAAGATGGTGAAGGGCCTGGAGCATCTCCCCTGTGAGGAAAGGCTGAGTGAACTGGGCCTGTTCAGCCTTGAGAAAAGGAGACTGAGAGGGGACCTGATCCAGGTCTATAAATATCTAAGGTGTGGGGGGCAGAATGGCGAGGCCGGACTCTTTTCAGTGGTGAGTGGAGACAGGACAAGGGGAAACGGCTGGAAACTGCAGCATAGGAAGTTCCGCACAAACATGCGCAAGAACTTCTTTACAGTGAGGTGACGGAGCACTGGAACAGGCTGCCCAGGGAGGTGGTGGAGTCTCCTTCTCTGGAGATGTTCCAGACCTGCCTGGATGCCGACCTGTGCGACCTACTGTAGGGAACCTGCTTTGGCAGGGGGTTGGACTCGATGATCTCTGGAGGTCCCTTCCAACCCCTACAATTCTGTGATTCTGTGAACTACAGCTCTATCAGGTGCTCAGAGCCCCCTTCAGCCTGACCCTGAATGTCTTCCAGGACAGAGTTTCCACCACTCTCTGGGCAGCCTGTGCCAGTACTTCACCACCCTTACTGTAAAAAACTTCCAGCCTGAATTTCCCACTGTCTAATTTGAAACCAGTTCCCCTTGTCTTATCACTGCTATAGAGTTCATCCCATTCTTTCTTGTAGCTCCCTTCTTGATACTGCAAAGCATCAGTGCATACCTCTGAACCATACTGAGAGCTGTTTTCTCTTTTCTCCCTTCCTTAATATTACCTTATTTTAATAAAAAGCAGTCACCATTAGCGACACACATCAGAATTTCACTCACGCATAAATTACTCGTACACAGCAATCTCTATGTTTTATGTGTGAAAGGATTCTTTGCCTTGCCATTTAGTTCCTGCCACTGATTTGTCAAGGATGTCTGCCAAATTATTTATGGACTTATTTTTAAGAGAAATATTTTCCTCATTACATTACACATACTGCATTTTTATTGAAAGACATTAGGAAGTATCTAATGTCTGAGCGCTTAATTTCAACAGCTCTAATACACAACAATGAGAACTCTGAACAGCCATAGCTACAAATGCATTCTTAATGTTGCCTTAAGCAACACATTTTGTGTATGCAACAGGAAAAAAGCCATCTGCAACAGTGAAGAGAGAAATTTAACAAGGCATGATAATTGAGGTGGGGCACATGCCTGGAAATATGGTTCCATTCTGATTAGTTTAGTTTGCAATTTTATTAGCTATGTTTATATGAAATTCTGGTAATAAAATCTGCAGATTGCTCAGTAAAACATGCAGAATTTCAGGAGTTATGGTATTTAGTTCAGCTTGAGAACTATACAGCAGAGCAGAGGAGGTTTGCAGCTGCATGTATAAATTATAAAGGTGGATCAGCCAAGTGTGCATCTTCATTTAAAAAGAATTTTCAAAAAGCCAATTAAAATTCAACGTGTCCCTTGGCTATCAAAATATGCAATTTCATCTGCAAACTGCTGAACTGTGTAACTACAAGGGTATCCCACTGTACCTACGCAGGGAGTAAGAGTTACTTTTGTTACTCAAGGAATCATACCGCTTATCACAAGTGGAGAGGAAACCAAGAAAATACACCCACCTCTGCTGAAGGGGTAAATCATTACCTACTTCCAAATATTTTGCATTATTGGTTCAAACAATCTGAAATGCTTAAAAGACAAACTTAGCTAAAATTAGCTAAAACTTTCCATGTTAGATTGAAAAAAATTAATACATATTTAAAGCAGAAAAAACCACACTGTGTTTTCTCATACAATGCAAATCGTATCTAATACTGCAATTAATTTGATGTCTGAATTGTTATTAATCCACACCTTGTCAATAATCTGCTTTTTAATTTACTGCATATGCAGCAGGCTCATTAGTGGTAAACGTGCAACATTCTAGATGTTCATATAACCTATCACTACAACTTGCACTTCAGGCTGAAATTCATCAGGTCAAGATTTTAGTTCTCTCCTATATGCATGACACACTTCTCTGACGTGTGATTTTTTTCCCTACACTGAATACGGATATTTTGATTTCTTATATATTTTTTTTCTCAGTATAATACAACTCTTCCAAGTTTTTAACTTGGACATTAACCACATCATTAACTGTGGGGGAAGATGTAACTGAGCGAGTCACCACAGAGCTTTACAGACTCCTTGATAGATCTTACCCTTGCGAAGCCTTAGGAGACTGGAATTAAGCAAAGGGAGCAGAGGGAGTCAAATAATAAACAGGAGGCTCTTTTGTATGCGCTGTTAATCTTGTCACAATTGAGAAACCTTTCATCCTTTATCACCGTTGTCTGGGAGAAGTTAGGACCAATTAACTGCTACAGGAGCTTACTGCTTGTAAGTGGATGTATATAAGATGTATGTGAACACAATAAAGTAGATCCATTCTGATGCCACAAGAAAATGAGAGCGCTCTCCAACTCGACTGAGCTCTGACAATTAACCAGATAAACTATTAAAATGCCATTCTGCTGCAAAGAAGATGTTATTAGGCAAGTGAGGTCTACATTTTACTGGAGGAGTCACTGTCCCTGGAAGTGTTCCAGAATCATGGAGATGTGGCTCTGAGGGACACAGTCAGTGGGCAGTGTTGCAGGTAGGTGGGTGGTCAGGCTAGTTTATCTTAGAGTTCTTTTCCAATCTCGCTAATTCCATGATTCTAAGCTAAGTAAAGTGTGCACATCTGTGTTCATAAGACACTTCTGCTGCTTTTCATACTCTTCTCCTATTCTAATGCACAACACACTTTGAGAGGATGGCTAAATTAAACTGATGTAACGTCTTCTGACCTGCATAGTTCTCATTTAAGAAGCAGCATTAGTGAAATCACCTCAAGAATTTTACCATGATTTCTACCATTGAAATTCTGTTATCATAATGATTTCTTTTTTCTCCCTCTGTACCTCCTGGAAAAGCAATGCGAGAACATGGAATTAAAGTTCTGCAATTGAAATTGGAAGACAGAAATGAAGGCAAATTCTGTGGTTGCTTAGAAACATGGATAAGTTTTGGTCCAATACTCAGTGTCCTTTGCTACTGAATGATTAATGAGCATGCAGTGTTTGTTTACTGCAGGAAATTAAAGCAGTAAATAAAAGCAATGTTACTTTTATTTATCAGAAAAATCGTACAAGAACACAGAACGAGAAACCTGAGATGGCAAGAGAAGAAGGAAACACTTTATGAATTGTTAGCTTTTAGCACAACTGAGTAAATGGTTTTAAATGATATGCATAAGAAGTATTTTAAATGAGAAAACAGAAAAAGTACTTTTTTGTGTATAAGAATTTGTCCTTGTCTCCAGGTCCCAGCATGTTGCCTGGATGGGAAACGTGACTCAGTAAAAGCAGAACTCTCTGGTAGACGTGTTATAAGAAGAAGAAATCTTGTAGCTTGCCCAGACTGGCAGTGGTTAGGATTGTCCACTTCCAATATCACACGGTCACTTCTTATTTCTCAAGCTAACCAGCTAACTAACCATCTTCCTGAAAGCTTTGTTTGTACTAAATGAAGCTTCTGTGACCTGTGGTGTTAGATCATTAGTGGAATCACTGCGTAAACAATGTTCTGCATCTTGCTCTGTTGCAGCAGCTCATTAACCATGCTGCTGCATGAACAAACCCATTCTTGAAGCAGTTCACAACTTATCTTTTTCCACTGCTTTTCTTCCCACAGTAGCTCTATGAATCCTACAGAGTAATAGAACCTGGGAATATACCTGCAAGTATTGACTGTGAGGTGCATTTTCTCCTCAGCACTTTAAGGTAGAAAATGGTTTATAAAATATATGCATCAGCTTGTTTAGGAAAAGTAAATCACATAGTTACCTAGGGTTTTAATGTTTTCATACAATCTAGATTAAAACCTGATTTCTAGGTGAGCTCAGCTTACATCTTGAGAATCGCACTCCTGGATGCTCTGATTTTCTTCCTTTCTTGAGGTCACGTGAAGACTTTCTTTCTCTGCTGAGGTATTTTGCTGGACATAAAAGAAAAAGAAAAAAAATTAAACCTATAGATAAAACTTCTTAAAAGTCAAACTATAAAATCAGGAGAACAGCAATGATTAGGAATTACAAACTGTAAACTACCTCACACGCTGTATTTTCAGCATGTTTTATAAAAAGGAATGTTTTAATACATGTTTTCATTAAATCATTCCCCTACAAAAGGTTTCTTCTGCATAAATAATCAAGACTTTCAATCTGAAACTGACCACACAAAAGTGATTTGGTGGTATATTGTCTTGTATGAAGATCAAAACTTCATAATGCAATGCAAGTTAAACTACTTTTTCTCTAGCACCAACATTTTGGGGAGAGGGATCAGAAGTGTAAATAAAGTGTTCTCTGAAATAATGAATATCATTTCACAATTGGTCTTTTATCCTTACTGAGTGATTGGCCTGTTTGGATTGCAATCATGGTAATACAGTTCTACAAACTTAAATTTCTTCTTGTTGAATGACACAGGTATACACCTGTGTGCCAACCACTGTACATGGAATGATTCACAATACCTGTAGAAGATTCATCAGTGTGATTTCCTGACTACCTGCAGCAGTAAATCTACATAGGCGGCCAGGAAAAGCAGTCAGCTTGAGCTCTTATTAATAGCAAAATAAAGGTCTCCCGTTATATACCCTGATTCCCAGATTTCTCAGCATGTTGTACTCATTTCTTCACAACCAGGGTAAGTCTGAGATACGCAGAAGAGTCTGCCACCAAGGAAGCATTTCTCCAGTGTCTTGTTTTCAAATACTCTTTCTAGGAAAATGAATACAAGAAAATTTCCCACTCTCATCCTCTTTAATACTCAAAATGTCTGAGATGTCATGCTTTATCCTAGAAGCACCCTCTTTTTTTTCCCCTCTCACAAAAAAAATGTAACGTTTCTCAAAGCGTTTCAATTTTCATGCAATTGCCTTAACCAGTAGGATTAGATTCTGTAGCTGCCAGCAGTGCTCAAGACACCAAACCAGGGAACTGCAACAGCTCTGCTTCATTTGGTCTGATTTCTACTTTGTAGGCATCACATCACTCCAGCTATTACACAACCATCAGCTGCAATTGCTTTTCATATTGTTACGCAAAGCATAATATCTAATGCTCTAGACTGAAATGCTACAAAGCTTCTTGCACAGGTCACAGAAAGTCTTGTCTTTCAGACAAGGGTGGAGGATGGGAGGACGTCTTGCCAGGCGTAGGGTGGTTCCCCGAGATTTGAGTTCACTGCAGACAGAATGGCACAGGGGCATTCTTGTGTTTTATCCGTGTACCTTTAATCTATAACATTTTGAAACTACAGTTGACTTTTTACATGAAGTGAGAGAAAAAAGTCAGTATTAAAAAAATAATAATCTACCTTTCTGAAGTCTGTTTGCTGATGATATGGGAGGCTTTGAAGTTGGTTCTGCAAACAAGATGCTTTGTTATCAAAAGTACTTTCTCCTAACAAGAAAGGGAGATGCCATTCTTTGCCTGAATGAAGCCTATTTACTAGATTGACAGATAAGCTCATGGAACTGCTGCCAAGCACTCTGGAGCAAACTGCTTTGGAAAGTTTCTCAACTCCTTCCCAGTTTGCCTAAAGCTTTCTGGACCCTCCCTCAAAGATTTTCAACCCAGGATTTCACACTGAAAGTTTTTTTAAGGATCATTAACCCCCTTTTTAAATTGTTTTTTAAGTAGTTTTTAAATTGCAGAATCTTCCTTACAAGCCTGACTAAAAACTTTGAATTTCAGATACTTGAAGTAAATAGAATTTTTACAATACATTTAGCACATATTCTTGCAGATGGAACCCACTGGATTGTGGCCAAAATTTCAGAATACTCATAACTGAAAAACCAATCCAAACTCATTAGTTCATTCAGTTCTCTTTCAAAGTCTGTACTGGAAGAACTGACAGAGATCAGAAAGTTAGATCAACAACATTCCATCTTGCATAATCTTTTGACTTTGATACATAGTTGAATTTTTTCCTGCTGCAATCGTAGAACGGCTTGGGTTGGATGGAACCTCAAAATTCATCTAGCTCCTACTGGCGTGCTGTGACAATGTTATCCAATCCATCTTCCCACATGGTTTTTCAGCATCACTGCACCACTCTCCAGTCATTATTTGGTGATATGTTTTCCCACAGTTCCACTGACAGATCTTACTTGCCAGATGATTTGCCCACACAAACCAGCAAATTTATTTCCTTTCACTGAGACCATGAGATTGCTCTTTTCTACACTAAGGGTTTCCAGTGACATTCAATTTCCATGTTAAAGTTCTCCAGTTAAGAATAGTCTTGTAGACCTAATGAAGGGATTGTAAGGCATCTTGAATGTAAGCAAACAAAACAGTTTCTTGCTCAGTAGACATTCATGATACAATACATGAATAAATAATTTGCATGTGTGAGAATCAAGATAATTTTTCTCCAGTGACAGACATCACCATGTGAGAAACACGCTCAAGATAAAAATTTCTGATCAAAGATCTCTGTGAAGAGCAGTTTATTTACTACTGCAATAATGGGTGCACACTCCTTACTGACAAGGGAGAAATTGCACAACTAGTCATTGAAATCCATCCCATTATATACCCTGGGTACGAAGCCTCTCCCGGCTCTCATTGGTGTCTCAGGCTCACAGTCTTCCAACACTGTTGCTACCTTATATTTCCATACAATGTCTGCTACCAACCCATTGTCTTTGGGTTGATTCTGCACTTTTTATGGCAATAAAAATATTTTCAAAATTAGCACACCCATTGTCCCATACCAGACTCTTCCCTACCCTATATAATTACCTTACCTGTGCCATTTCTACCTAGGTCGAAACACCCCAGACTCAATTTTACTCTGTTAAGCAGGTTTCTTGGTGGAAAACAACTTATCCTACTCTACATACAGAAATACTGGAAATTTCCACTGCAAAAACACAATCTACTTCTCACAATCACGATGATAAACGTATCCATAGCCTGGACTTTAAGTCAAGAAATCACTGGATTTTACCCAGAAACAGTTTTTACTGGCCCAACTCAAAATCATGCACAGAAAAGACTTGCTAGCCTGCCCCATCTGGCTGTTTTGGTGACATCAGGCTGGTGCATGGAGTGATGCCCCCAGGCTGGGGGTGCTGACATTCAGCTGCTTCAAGAAGGGCTGCTAACTAGGGCTCCTCAAAGGGACCACCAATAGGAAATAATCAGCACCTGAGCTGTTCTTGCTTTGCAGCAAACTCAAGAGTTTGTCTCTTCTGGGAGACTTCTTATTCTTATGGGATATGAATGATTTATTGTCACACCCAGGAAATCCAAACTTGCTCAAGGATTTGTAGCACTGTGAAAAAGTAGAGCAGTTCTGAACGTAGCAGATGAAGATGTCAGAGATTTCTGGGCAAGGTACATAGTGCAAGAGCCAGAAATATCTCCTTCCCAGCATCAGTTCTATTTGACTGCTCCTGGAAACCACAGACTTTGTCGGCACATCACTTGCACACACAGGCCAGCAGCCACATGATACTTCACATCCTTTGTTCAAGAAAAATGAGTTGATCCTGTCATCTTTCCCTTCCCCCATTTTGGCTGTATCATATGTAATTGCAGAAGTACAGTTATTATTGTTATCTTTTTTACGTTGTACAATAGACTTTTTACCTGCTCTCCTAGTCCTATGAATTTGAGATGCTCTAAAGGGAGCAATATGTTAAACTTTTCAGCAACAGGAATCACAGATAAATATGCATGACTGCCTGTGGAGAGTACAAAGCAAACCACTGTATCACACTTTCTCATATCCCAACTTCACACTTTTCATAATAGAATAAATACATGAGAAGTCCAATTCTAATAACACCACTCTGAGTATTTCTATGGTGGTCACCATACACAACCATTATATATGTATATATTTGTATGTGCACGTTTGTGCATATGTGTATATTCAGGAGAGGTAACTAACTTTACTCTGTAAGGCAGGCAGTATTATTCACCAGTAGGAAGAAAAGACATAGCTCACTTCTTATTTCTATTTAATACACAGCTACAGTTACTTTTATGCAGGGCCATTCATCTCAAAGGACTGCAAATCCTACAGAAGTTTAAATTTCTCTGTACTACTTCTTAAGCAAACAAAATTCCCTTTATTTTTAGTTTTAATTTGCATTATACTCAAACAACTCTGAGGTGGAAAATATTTTCTTTCTGGTATTCGTTATGCCAACACTGAACACTGAGCAACAAGAAGAAACACTTTTACAAAGGATCTACAAAAAATTCACTACCATTAAAACTGAGAGCTGTTGACACATCTTTAACATGGATACTGAAAAATTACATTTTTCTTTCTTCCCATTTCACATGCATTTGTGTTGTTCGTAATGGAATTTCTCTGAGACCAGTGTTCATGATAAGCTCATATGGCTGAACATGCATTGGAAGAAGAGGACACATTCTTTCAAATATCATCACATCTATGATATCAAATATCAAATATCTAATTCCATGAATCATCCTTTTCAAAACATTACTATGAGCGTGTAATTTTCCCTCATGCATGCACCTGCCTATCTCAATATTATAGTATGCTGGTCATAATACAGGCATTACAATTTTTACATTTTTCGTTATGAGACTCTGCCACTAGATTCTTCCTCTCATGGAAAGTAACTACTCTAGAAGAAGGGAAAAAAAAGACGACTTCATTTATTGTTAAGAGCCAGGGAGGATGTTGTGGAGATTGCAAGTATCATTTGTGGTATTTCCTACTACATCTTAATTAATTTCCCCAATCAAAGTGAGTCTCCTTAAGAGAAGAAATACATATTTACTAACTACCTCAAAGTAGGGTAATTAATCTCTAAATTGAGCAACCTTCCTATGGCAGAGCCAGTACAGTGCTCCTAGAACTCTGGGGAGATGGAAGATGATGGTCTGCTCTCAGAAACACAGTAAAACACCCAGGGGAGCTGGGCACCATGTGTAG